TCTGTATTTTTATCAGATTTCAGTTCTTGCGCAAAAGCAGTTCAACACATTCCATAGGTTAAATCATCTAGTTTTTAAGACATGTTATTTACTACTTTCTCAGTGTTTAGTTCCATGACATGCTGAAAATATAAGACCAAAAAGTTATATGTCATTCCACTTAGGAAAAAAAAATAAATCAAGTATTCAAGTTAGCACATAGGCTTTATTTTGTTGTCAATCAGGATGTCTGTGTGTTTACAAGCAGATGAAAGGCAAGACTTTGTTAAAAAAATAACTTAAAAGACCAAAAGAAAATAAAATTAGACTTGTTCAAATCTAGTTTCCAACTCAAACCAACCCCCACGTTTCAATGATCTGCTCTGTGCTGGCACAAGTTCTGAACAGCTGATGAGACATACACAGGACAGGAATATACAATTGTTTCCTGATTATTCATGGTTACCAGACATTTATACTCTTGAGATCTGTTTGTACACATTGAAACAAACACATTCAATTAAATTTATATCCCACTGAGACGCCAGGCAGACCGCTGCCAGAAGATAATCAGCCTAACACCGCTGAGGTCAAGAGGACTCTGCAAAATGACACCTGTAAGGATCCTTTTGTCTTTACCGGTGGGTGGCTGTTACATAAAAGAAACCTGCTGGAATCAGGACTCGGTGCCTGTTCTGTCAATTAAAGCAACATCATGCCACAATCTCTAAGATATCACAACTGCTGTTATCCACATCTTCCTCCAGGAACCCTCCTTTTCACCAAATTTATCCTTTTAGCGTACCACTGCTAACAACGTTGTGTAAAGTGGGTCAAGGCAAAGCCCGCAGCGTCTTTATCCAGGTAGTGGAGGATGCAGGTATGTAGGTTACAGCACTCAGTAGGTGATGAGTTTAACCAGACTCAGCGCAAGAAGATCAACGGCCCACATCTCCAGCATGCTCTCTCGGGAACAGTTTGCGTAACCGGTGCGGAAATACTGCAGGTGACATTACACATGTGGAAACAATGCCCTCAGTTAACACTCTGATCATGCCTCCTTCTTATCCCATATCAAGTGCTCACTGGCACTAGCAGGAATTTTGTCCAGTGAAGAACAGAACCTCTAAGCTTTAGGTGAAGGTATCCACTGTTCTTAACTCTTTAAACTCTTTTGTGTTTTTAGTGTGTTCCTAGGAAGTGCCTGAAGTGAATAGGCCACCACAGCATAACCCAACCAACAAACAAACCAACCCCTTTGCACTATAGAAAGTGTAAACTCTCTGTTAAAGGCAACTTTCAACTAAGTAAAAGGAAAACCATCCCTTTTCTAACCTCCCTGCTATCCCGGCACAAGCTTCTCCCACCTACTGCCGGAAAAACCTGTATTATCCCTCCTCCTGATTTCTGATGGAGAAAGCACCAGTCTACAGCTATGTGTGCAGCAGTCCAACAGTGCAACAAGATTCCAAGAGAGGTGGTCGATGCCGACGCCTGGCAGTGTTCAGGAAGCATTTGGCCAACACCACACTAACTTTTGGTCAGCCGTGAAGCAGTCAAGCAGTTAGACTTAGCCATTGTCACACATCCCTTTCAAGTGCAATAGTCTATTCTATACTCCCAGGCACCTTTCGTAAGCCCACTAAAAACAACTGAATAGCCTGTACACCAGGGAACCACAGCTGAAGGGGAGAGTGTGCCTGCAATGGCATTCACATGACAAAGTCACATTCCTTTGCACTGGTGCAGTAACTTCTGCATGGAGGAAGGTCCCACAGAGGATGGCCAAACAACTGCGGTTCCGCAAGGGCTTATAACACCACTACCTGTGGCAACCCTATTCTGCAATTATAGTAGCATTCAGCAGAGGTCTGTTCCTGCGCCTGCTCTCCCACTCCAGTTGTCTCTGGCAATAGCATCTGACCAGTTAGGCTCACCATCACAAGCCCCTCACCCGTCAGGAGAAAAGCATGACGACAGTAGGAGCAACACCACAGGTCTTGATAGATCAAGTGACCAGCAGCATATTTTTTTTTAATTATATTCAGACCTACACACCATGCAAAATATATTTTATTAGTCAGCACATAAATACATTCAAGTTAAACAGCTCTTTCCAAAAAGAGTAAAAGCAATTTTTAGCCATTGACATGTGCTAGAACATCAGCATAATCACAGCAAAATCAATGAAACCTCCATTACAGTTCATTATCAGTATTATTTGCAACAATTCAAAGAATTAACAAGCTATTTCCTGAGTGGTTCACTTAATAAGCCAAAACAGCTGTACTGCTTGTGAGAGTGATTTTAAAAGCATAGGCCAGTCTTGGACAGTTCCAGCTTTTCACTCACTTTTTCTGTTGAAATAAAAAGAGACAGATAAATGAGAGAGCACAGATTCATATAGAACTAAGAAACCAACTCTTCAGAATCATAGAACGGCACAGGCTGGAAGGGACCTTAGAGATCATCTAATCCAACCTCCCTGGCATGGGCAGGGACACCTCTCAACTAGATCAGGCTACTCAAGGCTCCCTCCAACCTGGCCTTGAACACCTCCAGGGAAGGGGCATCCACAACTTCTCTGGGCAATTTATTCCAAAGTCTCACCACCCTCGTACTGAAGAATTTCTTCCTAAGATCTAACCTAAATCTGTTCTTGAACTTAAACCCATTTCCCCTTGTCCTATCAGTGGACACTCTTGTACAAAGTCCCTCCCCAGCCTTCCTGTAGGTGCCCTTCAGGTATTGGAAGGCAGTTATTAGGTCCCCCTTAAGTCTTCTCTTTTTAAGGCTGAACAATCCCAGCTCCCGCAACCTGTCCTCTAGCAGAGGTGCTCCAGCCCCTTGATCGTCTTCGTGGCCCTCCTCTGAACACACTCCAACAGATCTGTGTCTCTTTTATGGTGAGGACACCACAACTGGACGCAGTATTTGAGGTGGGGTCTCACAAAAGCCGAGTTAGGCAGGACAACCACCTCTCTAGTTTAGTAAATTCTGGTTTTTAGCTCCATAAGTGATTTGCATAGCCTTTATCCATGGAAACCATCTTCTTGGACACAGATTTATTCATGACCTCAACAGCAAAAAGGCAAACTGCATTAACTGTTAAGTTAAATTCTATAGTGTACATACATACAACATACATAGAACCATGTGTGTTTTATAAATACTATCTCATTGTACATGTATTGCACACTGGAATGCCTCCAGGGTCTTTTGGTATGGGTGAACTACTTGTAGATACTTCTAAGTTCTTGCTAGTCTGAGACTGATCGTGTCCTGCTTATTAAAGTGGTCTCTAAAGGAAAGGAATTATTCTTGCTAAATGTCCAAATATGCTATTTCTTCAAGTTTGAAAACCTATTCCAACTGGAATGCAGCTTCTTGTGCTATAAACA